CTTCATCATCGTTGTCGTCGCCTAGAGAATTCGATAGTTCGAGTTCTCGAAGACGCTCGGTCGAGACATCTTCGAGATCTTCGGGGATTGGAATGGATTTGCGCGCGAAATACGGAATGACGCGGAAGGCTGCGATGGGTCGATCGAGGACTGTACCGTCGAGTTCGCATATGATGTACGCGCCGCCCTTGTTGCGCGAGACAATGATGAGGGGGCCTAGATATCGCGGGCGCATCTTGCGGTTGAGGGACTTCTCGATCTTCGTGTTGCGTATGAGCACTAGGGCTCCGCGTTTGAAGTCGAAATCCTGGATCGAGTGCTCGTGCTCTTTCTCGAAACGAATTGCTGCCGTTCGACGTGCTTCGTAGACCTTTGAGTGGAGTTCGGTGACTTGCTCGACGCGTTTCTGGAGCGCAATGGCTCTACGGGCGATGAGATCGGTCGTCGAAAGGACCGAAGTCGGTGGTGGTTGCAGATACGTAGCTTCGACGATGTCGAGAGGAATGAGCGGATGGGTGCCCGTAACAGCGAAGTAGGGTGAGCAGCCCATGCGCCGTCGAGTCGTGATGCGCTCAGACCAAAATACAAAGTACGCAGCTTGGGACCATTTCTTCTCATCTCCGTCGGCTGTCTTAAACAAGGCTTGTCGCGTGCTGAAATGCGGACGTTCGACGAGCCCGTTCGCCCTCGAATTGTACCCACTGATTCGAATATGGTTGATGTGGTACTTCTTCGAAAGGTAATCGGCCGCCTTGATGAACGCCGTACCGTTGTCGGTGACGATCTCACTGAGCGCGCCCCATCGACAGAGGATGTCTTCGAAGATCCAGTCGGCGAGGGCCTTCGCTGTCTCTTTTCGAAGCATTCGAAACTCGGGGTAAGTCGTGAGCGAGCATCTGCCTTGGACCAAGTACTTGTATCCGCCCGAAGCTGGCATGTGCATTGTGTCGATGTGAATTTTCGCGAAGATGGGGGCTGGTACTGCGACGGTTGGAGAAATGAGGATTTGACGCACTTGTCGAGACTGGCAGATATGGCACGATCGAACGAACCAGGCGATGTCGGCGTAGTGGAACGGCCACCAGAATCGCTCATTGACAAAGGCTCGGGTTGCGTAGATTCCTCGATGCGCGGTGCGGTCGTGGCATTCTCGAAGTATTCGAAGGCGATCGCCGGGCTTGACGACTAGCTTGTGTGCTCCGTGACTGTCTTTGCGCCAGAGGGTGTCGTTGTCGAGGAAGAATTGCATGCAGTACTTGATGAACCCTTCGTAGACGCCTTCGGAGATGCCGTGGGGCTTCGCTAACGTTCGATGAAATTCGAGCACGTCGTCGAGCTTTGCATCTGCGAGTTGCGCTTGCTCCGATCGAGGCACTAGCTCGTAGCTATCCTCCTCCCTATTGAAATCTGAGCCGTCCTCGGCTCTGCCATTGGTGAAGACGGCAAGCAAAAGGACCGGTGGGAGGGTCTGAATCTGGTGAACGAAAGAGTGCATCTGGTCGATCCAATCGTCGAACTCTTCGTCAACCTCGTCTTTGATGACATCGCCGGGCTGAGCTGTGCGTCGAGAGAGACCGTCGGGGCCGTGCATTGTACTGGGGACGTGGACCAGCGTGAAATGGAATGTGAGAATCAAGACAATCCACCGGTTGATACTCGCGCTTGGGGCGATGTCCGGATTCTTCAGCATACCCTTGATGTACCGAGCATCGACTTCGACGATGAGGTTCCGAACGCCGATCAGGTAGAGTCGAAGGGATCGTAGTGCGCGAAACAGGCCGTAGATCTCGAGCTTCGGCTGTGAAAACCTCCGTTCGCGATCGTTGAGTGTGATCGAGCCGAACCTGCTGTAGTAGCGGACTTGCGTGTTGGCTTCGTCGCACTGGCAGAGGTGATATCCGATGGCGATGAACGACGTGTCGACTGCGAGAATGACAGGAGAGGGGGAATCATAATGGATGGCTCGGAGTGCGGGGGATGAGAGTAGCACGTCCTTGAGGTCTTCCTGCGCCGCGATTTGCTCCGGACCAAACTCGAACTCGACGTCCTTCCTCGTGAGGCGTACGAGCGCGTCGGCGCGGTGAGCGAAATTGCGGATGAAGATTCGAACGACGCCGATGGTTCCGAGGAATGCTCGAACATCGGATAGAGTAGCGCAGGGACCCCAGTTGCGTATCGCAGCAACGCGAGAGTCGTCGGGGAGGCGACCTTGAGGAGTGCAGCGATGTCCGACCACCATGATTTCGCGAGCGATGAGGACGCTTTTGACTCCAGAGAAGGTACCTCCGGCGTAGCGCATTCGAGTGACTATGCGGTTCATGTTTTCGAAATGCTCCCATACAAAGCGTCGAATGCCGGGGTTCGAAGGGAGCCGCTCGTCGTCGTAGTCGGATTCGGGACCTTTGACGGGAACATCGTCGACGTAGGGCACCGTAACGTGCGGAATCTCGGGCTGCAGGATGTAGGTGACGTCGTCGTGGAAGATCGGGACTGAGTTCGTCCAACCCATCGGGAGTGTGACTAGACGCATGGCTCCGTAGGGTGTCTGGAACGTCGTTAGATCTCTCGAAGACTCGGCGATGAGTCGTTCGTCGTAGCCGACGTAGAGGTCGAGCATGCCGCCGCATGGTCTTCCTCCGAATTGTTCTGCGAGATATTCGGGCGTCGGCGGTACACCGGAATGTTGGATCGTAACTGCATTGAGGGGCTCGAGGGAATGGACGAGTCGAAGCGATTTACCGTCCTTCTTGACGACACAGAACCACCGCGATCGATACGACGAGTTCGATGGTTCGTAGACTCCGGCGGCGATCTTTCGCTTGATCACCGCGCAGACCTCGTTGTAGATCCCGGGCGGAATGGGGATATTCTTCTGCACCCAGGGCGTGTGAGGAACGACGGGAAATCGACGGGGGGGAAGTACTCGGGCTTGAAGCATCCTCGCTCGTCGTCGGTCCATGCAAAGGCTTCATTGTGCAGGCACATGAAGTGGTGGAGGACTCGACGTTCTTCGGGAAGTAGGAAGTCGCCGTCGTGAAGCTTATCGGTTGCTTCGAAGCGTTCAAGGGTGTACCGACCGGTAGGTTTGAACGGCAGAGGGTCGGTCGAAAGCTTAGGCATGATGGAGAGAGGGTCGCCCTTGATGTCTCGAAGTATTCGAAATTGTTCGGGGACGGCACCAAGGACGGGTCGGGTTTTGAGAGCGACAGGCTTGTATTTCTTCTTTGTCGCGGCGAGGATCTTGTGCGTTGAAGGGGTAGAAGTCGATGTCATCGAAGGAAAGGGAAGAATCGAGTTGGAGAACTGTGAGATGGACTTCGTCGGAACGGGAGATGGCGGAGTCGAAGCGAACGGAGCTGAGAATAGAAGAGTCGAAGCCCACGTCGAAGCGTTCGACGGGGTGGCATTAGAAACTGTATTGTCCGAAACGTAAAGAGACTGCAAATATGAAGAAATGGAGGTGCATGCGGAGAGGTACAGCGACGAAACAGCGTTCGGAGTCGAGGAATCAATCGGAGAGACGAAGGAAATACTTGGTGTTACTCCATCGTAGTCGATGACTAGCGCGGCTTCTCCTTGATCATGGGGAATCAATTCCTCGAAGCGAGAAAATGCGATTTGCGACACCCGAGAGGATGCTGCCTGCTTCGCGATCTTCCTCGCGCGTACGTCGGAATCGTGACGGTTTCGCCGGTGTTCGGACAGAGGATCGTAATGGTCTGGTTCTCGTCGGCGAAGTTCTTGACGACGCTCTGCGTAAGCACATCGAAGGGTCGGCCGAGGAGGATGTCGTATGCTGCGTTTCGAATGACGTGAGCCTGGAGGTACAATACGATCTCACCGATGCGGAAGGGAACATTTCGAATGAGTCCCAACGATCGGTCCACCTCGCCGTTCGCCGATTGCATGTTCAGCTGGATAGTAGGATCGAAGAGGAGGTTGAGGCCGAGACAGACCTCTTCCGACATGGCGACGATCTGTGAACCGGGGTCGACGATGCATTCGATTTGCTCCTTGTTGTCGACCAACGCGATGATCGAACGAATCGCATTCGAATCGCGTGCGACGGTGAACTCTGCGGGGTGCTCGCCGTGAGGGATGTGCTTCAGATAGGTTTCATATGGGTCGGGGACGATTGTAGCACCGGGTTCCAACGTTGCACCTGAACACGAGAGCTGGTTGACGGCCGTGACCTCGTCGGCGCCGATTTCTACGATGTGGGCCGACGCGACGGGTTCCGTCGAGACTCGCTTAGGGGTGACGGCGTCGCGGTACTTGTTTCGAACGTCGGGCGCGATTGACAGCAACTCTTCTGGGGTCAGCATGACGAACGGCGACTTCATCGAACGCTGGAAGATCTCCTCGGCGAGCTTCGGCTGGATAACGGGGACGATGGTCTTGTACGCTGGTTCCTTGCCCTTGTCGTTCGAGGGCTTCGGCGGAGTTGCGAAGTTTCGAACGTTTGGCGGGGCGTATGTTGCGTCGCGAGCGTTTGCGAAGGGGTGTACTGGTGGTGCTGGGGGAGCGGATGTAGTAGGTCGAGACGTGGATTGCGTAGGCGAGGAAGAAGACGACGCGGGTGCTGCTGCTGGTATTGTTGGAGGCGGGGCCGTGCTTGTCGAAGTGCTCGGGGGCGCCGCCACTCCTTTCGATGTACCAGATCCCGAGGCTTCCGCGCTCTTCGGGACGGCTGGCGTCGTGGGCTTCTTCCGCTGTAGAATCTCGACGCCGTCGAAGACCTCCCTTCGCTTCCGAAGCTGAAGGAGTTCTCGCTCGAGCGCCTCGATCCTGCTGCTGGTGTTGAGCGTGAAGGTTTGCATAGTCGAGCGATCATCGATCTCGAAGAGCATCGTCGGAGCGGCGGGTGCTGCGGGATTTCTTCTATGCCACTCGTAGATTCGATCCCGTATCGTGAGACCAGGGATAGTGCGGGGGCAGAAGCTTCCGTTTGGAAGGATGATCTTGCCTTCGGTGTTTCGTTTGCACTTGCCGTCCCGGATGTCGATCTCCGCGAACTCGCAGGTGCCTACCCTGCAGCCACGATTGCCGCAGT